TTGCGCTTCTATCTGTGTTTGCTGACCTTATCTTTGCAGTTTGCTGCCTTTGTGCTTTTGCTGTCGTTGTCGCTGTTGCTGCTTGCCGGCACGACAGGAGAAAAACACCGCGCCACGAAACACCCACAGCAAGAAACGTTGCTCCGAACGTATGTACGACATCACTACATCACGAACGGACACAAAGTGGCACCCACGCAGTGAACATACGGGGAAAGACCTCCATGCCGTACTCCCTACACGCCGCACCTTACCAAGGTACAACAATTTCATACCGAAATCCCCCTCCGTCACCAACTCGTCTATCCATTTGCAACGCGCCTTCACCCATAGAATCCAAGAACGATGGCCGACCTTGATACGACGTGTAACGGCCTCACGGCCGGAAATCTAGGCGCGTTCTAACTAACGTACGACATGTACGGGCGACCGTGCATCCGGCGTCACTCACCGGCAGCGGAAGACGATGTGAGCTTGACTGCGTTGATTAGAAGCGTTGACAATGGGGGCCCTTGCTTCACGCCGACGCAACATCGCACTGGGGTCTTGGAGAGTTGAAATGTGGTGTGGCGATTCTCGTTGCCAGGTGGAACGCGGTCGATCTGGAAGGTCTTGGGCAACTCCAATGAGCAGTCGTCTCTGTCGCGAGGAAGGTCACGGACATCGGACGAAGTGGTCATGTCTCGCCTAACGACGTGTACTTTCCTGCCAGACCGCCTAGCTTTCAGCCTTCGTAGGCTCCTTACACAGCTAAAGCACAACTGTCGGGATTACGCTCAAACGCCTCATACGCCCATATTCTTGCAGCAGAGCGCTGCACAAACACATGCCCGTCGAAAGCCCGTCGACAAAGCCCCTTGTGCTTCAAAGATCCATACACAAGCTCGAGAAGCAAGCATCTCACCTCAAAAAAATGAGTTGCCGCAAGTCGCACCTTGCCCTCACAGATGAGTCAGGCAAGTCCATGTCCATGAAGCGGCGACGCTGTGCCTGAAGCAACGTCAGCAGGGGTTCAATAAAGAAATGCTTGATCTAACCGCGTAATAAATTAGAGCAATGGAACTGAAGTGCGGCGGCTACAGCATGAAGGTTTTGCAACGAACAGTACCTTGCAAACGTTTGCAGGGTCCACAGCAGCTTCTCAGGGCGCCGCGCAGCTGTTCAGGCTTCCTCATTTGCTGGTCATATGTAGGAAACTAGCAGCTTTTACGGACGCACCAGAGCTGGAACAGGCCGAAAAGAAGGGCTCAAACGTTGGGTGAAAGCCTGTGATCAAATATCGGACGTTGTGCACATTTGCTAATGGAGCTGGAAGTGCTATGGGAGGTGCCTTTTGTCAGAGGCCAGCTAAATTGTACGGCGCAACAGCTGCAAATCCAAGTGTGTTGGTAAGGTGCAGTTCGGCGAACTCACTTTGTCGACAGTTAGCCTATTAAACTTTTATATTATAGCTGTATGTCACTGCATTATCACGTTCACCTCCGTTCCTCTGCACCTGGTTACGTCCTCCCCGGAAGCAAGATCCCTAAGTGCAAGCCCTTGCAAACAACAGGTCAAGTTATCATGAAGGCCGTTGCTTCATTTTTGCTTATGTGGCATAGCGGGCGATTGACGTAATCTGCCCATGGCGGAAGTGCCAAGAGCTATTGATACAGCGTTATGGTTCTTGAAGTTCTTCTTGAGTATCTAAGGTGCTTTAAGTCACGTTTGCTTACAAAAGGGACTGCGGCCCGAACAAGGGCGCCATGGAACTATCGTGGGGAGCTTTCCTTTGACAGGGCTAAGCCATCCGTAGCTTCTTCTTTCAAGGTCATCCATCGATGCACCATCATTGTCACCCAGCACTGCTGTGAGCAGCGAGATCGTGCACCGCCCAGCTCCCTATCACCCTATATCCCTCCCGTTCACCCTCGCCCGTTAGCCCCTTCCCGCCACATTTCCGTTCCCTATCACTTGTTGCCATCCATCCCTTGCTCCAACAAGTTCATGATCAGCTCCATCACTGTGCTGTCATCCCAACACCAAGTGACAATATGTAATCAGCAGCTGCCTTCATGATGCCGACCGAGCTGCGGTAGCCTGATAGTGGTCCACAGGGTGGCTGCAAGACAGACGGTCCGACACATCCAAGTGCAAGAGAGTGTATGTATGATGTATGGGACAGGGGGTTCATATCTTCACCCTGCAGCCGCTACCTGGCAGATCCTGCCTTCCTGTGTTTATTTTCAATTTTGCCGGTGAATTTTCCAGTCCGAAGTCTCCTAAAATGACAATTGCCGCGTCATAGATAAATGGTGGCAATGTAACGGTAAGATACCGAAGTGCACACAACAAGGGAGCCGACGCGGGTGCAGGGCTTGACGACCAAAGCGCACGCGGGCGCTACGAACCGTTGAAATACTTACACACCAACGGCACGCGGCCTGGATGTGGCGCTTACTGGCGCTTATCCAGCGCGTATCGGACAACCGCACTTTGCTGCTACTGCAGTTTCTCCTTATCTTCTGCTAGACATATCTATTGGATAAAAACGAGAAAATAGAGAGGTGTTGACAAGGTGAAGCTTTAGCCGCGAGCTCGGCTGTAGCCTCGATCACGGTGGGGCTCGAACCCACATGGAAATAGGTCACCGGGGCCGAATCTAAAATATAGACACCCTATCCATGTCCATCGCGCCATCCACCGCCACCAGTTCCACGACCACCGCCGCCGCACTGGCTTCACCTCTGGCCTAACCGCACCCTCTGCTCCTTGCCATATACAGATTCGCAAGAAATTTCCCTCAGGCACCCGCCAGTAATCGCAGCTCTTGAAGGTACTCAACTCCGGCAGTAGCAGCAGCAGCAGCAGCAGCAGCAGCAGGACCATCATGTTGATTGCAGGACCAGGTTCATGCGGACATACAGTGAGAAACAAGCGGGGAGGGCGTGTGTGTGGACAAGTCAGCGTGTGTTGTGTCTATTGCCGGCTCATAGCAAATCAAGCGCGCAATATACCTCGACGGTACGACACAGTGCTGCTGCTGCTGTTGCTGTGCCGCCAGCCTCCGGCCAAAGCCCACTGTGCAGTTATCACTAATCCTCGTACCGTACCGTACCGCGACATGAAAAACACAATAGGATGATGCTCCACAAACTACGGCACACGGAAGAGTCACGACACCACAACCGATAGCAACCGACCAGTTAATCGCCCGTACAGCCGAAACAGATTGGTAATCTGCTGGACACATCCCTCAACTCAAATCAACGCACATACTGACACTCGTAATAGTGAAGTGCTCAGCCCCCCTCAGCACCACGACGGGGTGCCGCCGCCGCCACAGCAGCACCAACACGAGCCTCGGGAAGAAGACAGCGGAGCCAGGCGCCTCTGCCACCCTAGGGAAGAACGATAAAGGGAAAACACAAGCGCGTCAGAGAACGTCCCAATTCCTAGAAACAGCGCACTTACCTCCTTTACCCGTCCGCGAGCCCATAACCTGAGCGGGTAGAAACCCACCGTACGAGCATCAGGCGAGCATGCGGTGGTGGGGCCCTGCATTGCAAAGTCCCGCTTCGCGCAAATAGCGACACGAACAACGGACGCGGAGGTGGGGCTGGCGAGTGGTGCGCTCTTGGCAGCTCCACCAGGGACTCCTAAAAATCG